CTGTCCGCACATCATCAAGATGAAGAGACAGAGGAGGAATTCTGGGAGTTGAAGTCCACAAGTCTTAAAGCTGTCAAGACCCTTGCACCCCTAACCCTTTAGTAAAAAAAACCCAGGGGTGTTCAAACTTGACAGCTTTAAGACTTGTGGACTTCAACTCCCAGAATTCCTCCTCTGGCTCTTCATCTTGATGATGTGCGGACAGGCAGGGGAAGGGAGGTGGAACCGGTTCTAAACGGCCTCCTAGATTTGTGGAACCTCTTCTATAGAAGAGGTTAGAACTGGCAGGAGCCCACCGTTGTCCCACAAGGGATTATGGAGTCATTAGATTTGGGCAGTGAGGAGGTTGGGGAGGAAGATGGGCCAGTGCTGGAGTCTGGGACAGGCTCGGATGAGGGCTCTGTGTCGGAGGCAGAGAGGAAACCAAGGCCGTCTGACAGTTATCAGCTGCCTTCGGGGTCAGACATCAGTGGGGCAGAAGAACAGCTGGAGCCTGTTCCCAGTGTGTGCATGTGCGGAGTTGCCAGAGGAAGGGAACAGCTAAGGAACAAGGGTCGACTTGAGAGTAAGGCTACAGGTAGACAATGAATGGCCTCTCCCAGAGGAAATAAAAGAGGAGCGAAAGGGGAGTGGAGTTTGCAGGAGACCATTAGTTCACTGCATTGGTTCGTGACTCTCCGAGACCCTTTGCCAAGTTCTGCAGAGATCGGCCTGTCAGCTCTCCAAGCCAGAGAAGGTCTGTGACCGTAAATCCTCCCTTGAAAGACTTTGCTGGCTGTGAATGGAGAGAATTCACAGTCAATTAATAAAAGGGGTTTTTGTCGGGACAAGGAGTTTGTTTCATGCTCTTGGGAAGCTTCGCTCAGAACAATATTTTGCAAACCTCCAAACATTTAGGCTGCAGGCTAGGCATGGCCAGGTGAATGCTGTCTGCAAGACGGCTCTTGAAAACTTACCACAAAACGTCAGAAAAATAGAACCGATATAGACATCTGGGCCTCTTGTCCCTTGCTGATTTGCAGAAGGAACACTAACTTTGATGGTATACTTTCCTCGATGCTCTGACCTCAGATTTGTGATACTCAAGGAACAATTCCGATGCACCACTCCGACTTGGGAAGCGTCAACCACTTTTGAATTGGGGTCAAAATCAATTTTGGGCCCAAAGGGTGGCGTCCACTCGCATCGTTCAAATCCGTCCCGGATATTCTGCACGTTCAGGATGATATTTTTTCCCAGGATGGCTTCTTCAGGTACAGAAACCACAGTTAAGTTTTCCTGGGGTGGCACCTGCTGCGACATGCAGCTCAGGATGCAACCTGCAAAAAAGTAAGGGGAGGGGAGAAAAAAGAAAACCCCCACAAAGTTATTTCCATTTCTTCTAGCATCTTCTCTGCCGCTCCTGCTAAGCACACCGGGCCCCGCCCTGAAGTTCTCCAACGAAGGAGGGAGGTCTTGAAGAAGGGACTCCATATATGGTTGCTCTCTGTGTTCAGATGAGCCCGTTCTGTTGGACTTCCCCTTCTGCTCCCATCTTGGGGTTTTGACATAGGTTGACGTGTGATTGCAAGTCAGTTCTTGAGTCAAGAGAGCAAGGTTGGGTGGAGAAGCCAACACCCCAGCCAATAGCCAAATTATTTGCGGCCATAAGCCCCACAAACCAACCAGCCAGCCAGCCAACCAACCAACCAACTAACAAACAGTCTGGTGTTTTGGTGGTAAAGGCACCAGGATGGAAACCAGGAGATGGTGAGTTCTAGTCCCCCCCTTAGGCATGAAAGCCAATTGAGTGACTTTGGGCTAATCGCCAGGAGATGGTGAGTTCTAGTCCCACCTTAGGCATGAAAGCCAATTGGGTGACTTTGGGCTAATCGCCAGGAGATGGTGAGTTCTAGTTCTGCCTTAGGCATGAAAGCCCATTGTGTGACTTTGGGCCAATCACCAGGAGATGGTGAGTTCTAGTCCCACCTTAGGCATGAAAGCCAATTGAGTGACTTTGGGCTAATCGCCAGGAGATGGTGAGTTCTAGTCCCGCCTTAGGCATGAAAGCCGGCTGGGTGACTTTGGGCCAATCACAAGGAGATGGTGAGTTCTAGTCCCGCCTTAGGCATGAAAGCCAATTGTGTGATTTTGGGCCAATCACCAGGAGACAGTGAGTTCTAGTCCCCCCCTTAGGCACGAAAGCCAATTGTGTGACTTTGGGCCAATTGCCAGGAGGCAGTGAGTTCTAGTTCCACCTTAGGCATGTAAGTCTGCTAGGTGTCCTTGGGCCAGTCCCTCTCTCTGAGTCCAACCCACTTCACACGGTTGTTGTTGTGCGAGAAGAAGGAAGCAATTAGGTACGTTGACCCCCTTGAGTTACAAACAAACGAATAAATAAATTTACCCCCCTCTCTTATAATACCTAAGGAGATAGTAATAGATATCTTGAAGTAGGCTGCATGTACTATCTAGTTGGCTATGCTGGCTTGCAATGTAGCTTCCAGATTAGTGATCCTAGTTAGCTTATTTTGACTTGGTTGAGGATGTGAAAAACGGACCAGCGTACTCGTAAGCAGAGAAGGCAATGAAGTCTATTCCTGTGTTTCTCAACCTTGGCAACTTGAAGATGTCCGGACTTCAACTCCCAGAGTTCC